TATCTTTTAATAGAAGGAGATGGGTTTGTGATTGACATATGTGTCAATTGATGAAGTTTTGTTCAGAGGATACTAGTTTGATGCAACCACCACCAAAAATTGGAAATTTCAAAATTTTTGCAATTTTTGGCTTGCGCAAATATTTTAATTCACTCCAGTGTGACCCGGCACATAGACAAACAGGATCATGTTCCTAATACAATTGCTCACTTGATGGTATATATCGATCCCCTTTGAAAATAAACTCTATTAAAACAATTACTTTTTTGGCAAGCAATACAGCATGGTGCAATAAGAGGAAAAGTGTTACAAATTAAGGTTTCTTCCTTGGTCTACACATACTCCATTTCAAAGACTGTTGGTATTTTCACTAACTGATAGCAAAGATTCAATCACTTGCCGTTTTCATTGTGTAAATAGAGAAAACATCAATGTTTTGGTTCTGATTCCAGGAAAGTTATCTCCTTGGTAAAATATTGTTTGTACACAACTAATTCAGGCTAAAATGTTCAATTAATTATTAGCAAAGAAATATGTAACAGCTGGAGGGGAGAATTGACAATCAGATCTTGGGAGCTAAAGGGTTTACAAAAGCAGCAGTTTGCCATAAGAAACAATATTTTCAGCTTGAGAACATAATATTAAAATTGTTTGCGTGAGGTCTCACGCTCCATGTGAAAGACTTGACAGCTTTGACTGGGGCTTTTAAGAGGGGCGGCTTATAAGCAGCAGTTTTCAGTATTTCTGGAGTAGAGGGACATGTATCAGTTGTTCCTTAGCTTAAAATGAAGGAATGTATCAGGTTAAATTCACAACCAGCCAGGAGTAAACTAAAAAATTGATTTAAATTGTACAATTTGAAAACACATTTCCAATTTGAAGGCCCAAATGAATTAGGCCACTACTACAAATACGCAATTGGTTGGCAAGTACAGAGATGTCTTCAACAAACATGCAGAAGTTGCTGACCGAAGCACTACAGTCGTAAGGACTAAAACATGTAACGACTTAAAACCACCTAAAACCATCTAAAACCACCTACCACCATCTAGAACCACCTCAACAATTTCAACAACCACCTCAAAAGCATCTACAGCCACTCGCAAACTATCTAAAACCATCTAAAACAAGGTATAAATGTCTAAAATAAGGCGAAACGACATCTCACGTACATGAAATACGAGAATCGAACGAAACCTCCACCTTCCGCTGAAATCTTACTCTCCCTGGTCCTATGTATAATCAACCATCGCAGACGCAGGGTAGTCAGACGCGTATATAGGATTTTTTTACGCGCACGGTCGAAAAAAATGCACGACTCATGTGCCTTTGTTATTCAGTGCTACAAGTTTCCATTATATTACATTACAATGTGAAACAAATAACTTTTGGATTTGATTTGAGTTCTTGATGAATCAGCTGGGAGAGAGAATGTCTATTACTCATGGCATCGAAACACATGTTTCATTGAGCAAGTAAAGAAACAAATACTCCGTAATATGCTTTCCAATTCATTCATGGCGATCAACGCTCCCTA